ACCAAGGCACACAAATGCTTGCTAGTTAGAAGCATGGACAAACAGGCATGCTCAGAATTATTGCTTAAATACAGGTTGTTACATTACTGGAAATGAGTAAGATGCACTCTAGGCTGATTTGGACAATAATCAACTAAATTCTAAACATAGACGATATGTTTCCTGCCACAGGCCCAGAGCCAAAACAGAGGAGTTAGGAAATCTCGTGAGAAAGATCTAGGAGAGGAAATATTGAAATAAAGTAATTAATTATGTACTACTAACTTTAGGGAAACCGGAATTATTTTGTGGATGTATTTCCCAATGTACTAAATGGAGGGCAAAATGTACTATTTCAAAATATGATGAGAGAGATAATATTAAGAGAAAGATCTGCATTTTCTTGTTATTCCTATATATTACTGCAAAATACGAAATCTACAAAAATGCTTTTCAACTAGATTTTTTTTTTTGCAACTAGATTTCAATACTAACTTTTATAATACCTTGTGGCAAGTTCCTTTACCTCACAGAATAACTCCCAATATTTGTTAATTATGATAGTAACAAGATACCATATTATGGGTAACTTTAATAAAAGCCAGTAATGTGTGATATGCACATTCATTTATTTGTACTTTTACATTATAGAAAAATTAGAGGATACAAATAAGAAAAATGTCACTTAAAATTCCACTCTTGATGACCACTGTTAAAATTTTTGTATTCAAGTCTTTCATGCAAATGTTTATATGCTATACGTACTATAACTTGCCTTTCCCTCCATTATCATGAATCTTCCCTTGTCAATAAAAACATGCTATTTGAACATTGTCAAGTAACAACTGTTATGTCAACTGGACATAGTTTCTTTACTCTTATTATTTAGGTTTAAAAGTTTTTACTATAAACAATGCTGTGATAAACCAATTCCTAGAAACATACATCTTTGTGCACTTTTCTATTCCTAGAAAATATTCCTAACATACTGTGTCAAAGGGTGTGAACCTTTTTAAGGCTTTTGATACATATTGCTCACAAATCCTTGAGAACACTTGTACCAATACATATACTCTTACAAGCTGTTATCTCAGAATGCTCCTTTCCCACGTCCATGAAAATGAGCATTGTTCTTTTTTTTTTTTTTTTAAATTTTTTATTTATTTATGATAGTCACACACACACACAGAGAGAGAGAGGCAGAGGGAGAAGCAGGCTCCATGCACCGGGAGCCCGACGTGGGATTCGATCCCGGGTCTCCAGGATCGCGCCCTGGGCCAAAGGCAGGCGCCAAACCGCTGCGCCACCCAGGGATCCCCGAGCATTGTTCTTTTTAACCTATGCAGGCAAGTGAACAGTATCCTGTTGTTTTAATCAGCACTATTTATATATACTGGCCATTTTAATTTATTTTGGCTATATAATTCCTGATCAACTATATCCATTGGTTGAGTCTATATGGATTTGAGAATGTTTCTTATGAATTAAGGGTATTTGTCATGCATGCTGTAGTTTATTGTGCTTATCTTTAACTGTTTATTGTATTTTTGCCACACCAAATTTTAAGGACTTGGAAAAGCAGTAAGGTGTATCTCCTGCTTTCCTCTTCTGCATTGCTGTGTGCAAAACCAGTGGTAACAACAGGATCCTTGTTTTATTCCTGCCCATAAATGGGAAGGATTTTAGTATTTTCTCCACTAGGCATGATGCCAGCTGTTAGACATACATAGTAAAAGAGGAGGGAAACAATGGAGGAAAAACACTTCCTTTGCATGTAGTAACTAAATCTAAAAAACTGGAAATCAATTTTTTAATTTTATCAAATGCCTTTTACATCCAATGAGCTGTTGACATGGTTTTTCTCTTCTGATCTATTAATACTGAATATAATAAATCTTTCTTTGTTATAGTGGATTATCTTATATACAGCCCATAAACTAGTACACAGAAGTATAAAATATTAACTAAAAAGTGAAGATTGGGAAGTCAGATTACTGGACCCTCAATCTTGGTTCTGCTATTGACTAGCTGTATAACCTAGCACAGTGATGTCACCTCCCTACACCTCAACTGCCTCAAAGTCCAGAGTGTTAACCATTACACCATGGGATCTGCTACTTCAACTACCTCACGTACAGAATGGTAATGGTAATAGTATACCTGCCCCACAGGGCTACTGTGAAGATCAAAAGGTATAATGTGCATAGTACCTGGCTCAGAATAGGCACCAACAGTAACTATTATTAATAGACTGTTGGGCTAATTATTCATTTTACTTAGGAATTTATCACATATATTCCTAAGTGAAGGCAGTTCTTTGGGCAATCCATGTGATTTGATACCTGGATTACATAAGCTTTTAAAAACATTTGGGAAGCTTTCCTTCTCTCCCTAGACTCAGGAAAAATTAATATTTTATACAAAGTAACATTTTGGTAAAGTGTTGCTTTTTATACTCAGCCAAAAAAAATCTACAAAACTTTTAGGCAAGAGAGAAAACAGGCATATAATGTAATGGAAGGAGTTAAGAGTGGTGTACTTCGAGATAGCTGTCCAGGTAGCCCCATCTCTGCCACGACCAGTGGATCACAAGCACAAAGTGAGGACGCTGAACCAGTATCTAATATGTCTCTCCCACCTCTCTGATGTCTCTGAGCAAATGTTTGACATATACAACTAATTTGTGCCCAACTTGTTTTAATTATAGCTATCCCAAGGGAGAAAAAAAAAATCTCACAGGATAGCTTCCTGTTACTACTACGACTTCAACATTTTAACTGAAATGAACGTTAAGTGTAACGAAATAGCAGAAAAGGAAAGATTACACAGAGATAAATATGTTTGTTCTCCTAGAAAAGTAACAACCTGGATTTAAGATTTGAATATGGAAAAAAAAAAGAATTGAATATGGATATGAAAACCTCAAGTTTTCAAGAGTTACCAGTCAGCTGTCCAAATGTGCTGAAAATTTAATTTTAATCCTTGGGTTCACTCCTGTATCACATCAAACTCCTAATTGACTGTTTTTCCTCAAAAAGCAAAAAGTATTATTCTAAATATAGGATAAACAAAAGTAGTTAAGTTCTACCTCAAAAAAAAAAAATGCTATAACTTACCCAGATTTCAGAAAATGAGCCCTTAGGAAATTTTCACTCCTTAGAAAAATGTAAATCCTTCATTTAAATTATACCATATTCAATTAAAATGCACTGAGATAAGTAATCAGTAACGATTAAAGTAACAATAACTATTAACTACCACCTTACTTACTATGTGACAGGTATATAGTACTTCTCATTTCATCACTTAACACTTCTAACCATCCTAGGAGGTATTCTGAACTGTTTAACATTGAGGAAATTGAGGCCCATAAAGGTCAGGTCACTTGGCCACTACATTGGGGTTAGAATTACAATTTAAATTTTAAAGCCCATACTTCTAATATTTGTAGTCAAATGAGTACCTGAAATTAAATTTGGCCATATAATTACATTCAGAATTATATCCCTCTAACTCTAATACCACTGACAATAGAAGCTACTTTAAAATATACCATTTTAAAGAATAAACTATTCTGGAAAGCATATTAAACTGTAAAAGAGCCTTAAAAAATGTTACTTCTAAGATCGGGTATCAAATTTGCCATCAAAATAAGTACTATTATTATTTTATTGGGTTATTTGTAGAAGAGTCAAAGATAATTTCTAGATCAAACATGCTGACTTCAACCCAAATTTATTCAATTTTTAAAAAAGTAATAAAAACACTTTTATTAAACACTTATATTAAACATGTTTAGGTAAAATATCTTGAGTTTATAATCCCAAATATCAGTGACTAGTAATAAAAACGGAAAAATAATTTGAATCTACTTTCATAGTCCACATATGCTGAAATGCAAAACGAATATAACAGACATATGAGTATTTGGGCTTCAGAGAAAACACACAGGCATTAACAATCTTAAAAATGTCACCCTCTGATTACAAACAAGCGTATTATTTATATTCTAGACTTTGTTTTTATTATATTGTATTTCTGAAAATTATAAATATCTTAGATATAACCCTATTATAAATATAGATTCAATAATTTTATCAAACTTCAGCTAAGAAGAAATGAAAATGTATTATGATAGTTTGACATTACTTAAAGCTGACTTTGCATATTTAGGACACAGAAAATTGGAAAGGAACACTTTACATGAAGCAGTTTTAAAGGTAAAGATAAAGGTTATATTTTAGTAAAATGAAGTCAGGAAGATTTACTTAAGAGAAAACTGGAAAAAGTCTCTTTTATAGCAATCTTTGTGAAAACAAAAAATACACCGATTCCTAACTCTTTCAATTTAAAAGAAGACTGCCATCTAGGTGAGTAGATATAAAATAGATATACAATGGTTTTACCTGAAAAGGGCCTTCTGTAGATCAAAGTAAATTGAATCTACTTTTGTTCAGTATTTAAGTCACCTCAAACTAATGTAATCAATGTTAATTCCACCAAGTAAAACTACTAACATGAAAGCTCTTAAAATTCTTTAGCACTTCTTTAGCAATTCTTTATTATTTCTTTCTCCAAAATCTATTCAAAAATGTTTATGCTTACTTTTACTTTATGAATACAACTTCAACTACAAAATTCAGATGAGTACTCTGTATATATGTCAGACAACAGAGAAGCAAGCTACAAATCCTTTGTATTTCTCTTCCAACTAGTTAGCTGTGAAAAGAGAAAATAAAAATTTTAAATAAAATTCCTGAATTGGCCCCAAAATACTTACTTTTAGAAACTGACATTTAAAGCATAACTGTCTCCAAAGTGACCCTGTTCTCCCCAACATCTCCCAGGTTACCTTAGAAAAAACAAGAGTATTTGAAGCCAGGAGGGAGTCTGACAATAGAAAACACTGAAGCAGATTAAGCTGATTAGTCACCCAGAAAAATGCCCTGAGATGATGAACATAAAATGATGAATTAATAGGGAGGAAATTTTTGGAGACAAAAGACACTGGAAAACAAAAGGCTGAAAAACTGGTAATTTTATAAAACGTTCCCCTGAAATGGTATATATTTTTCTCTTCAGAAGAGAAAAAGTTGTAAGATACATTCCCAATTTTGGCTTTTCTTAGGAAGACAATAATGACCTGTACCAAAAGATTTATTATCTTGAAATGAAAGTGTATGAAGGAAAAGACTCCTTAAGAAATATATACCAACCATTCCTTGATGAAACTTATTCTCCACTGTGGGGTAGGGGTTCTCCAATTCTAAAGGTAAAAAATTGGTCATTTTATTCTATTTTAAAAAATATACAGATTTTACTGAAATGATAGCCAATTTCAGCTTAGAAGATACAGGTTCAAGGTCTGCTCTGGGTTAGCCCAGAAACTGCTTGCATAGTGTTCATAATTTCAACAAACCCTAAAAAACTCTTCCAAAATGAACTTTTTCAACCTTCTGAACAGAATTCATGCCCACACACCGATGTTCACTTCAGCAGCATTTGTCTCTATGAAGGACATCAAAATCACTCAAACATCAAATTGCTGATTTGATAGAATGATTTATTTTCCCATTACAGGAAAGTCATGAGTGACTTGTTCTGAGGTACGTTTTTGAGCTATGAAGGACATCTATTAGAAAGCTCCACACTTGAAGGTTTCTCTTTAGATGATAACATTTTATGGCTGGACAGTCTCTGCAGGTACCAGATTTCCTGTCGTATCCAACTGCATACATTTACATGTGCATGCAGAAACGGGACACTCTGCATGGTCCCTAAAAAAAATAGGTCAAGTAAAAGTTAAAAATCTAAATTAATCATATACATACAAACATTTATCTATATACCTATCTATATGCAGAATGCAATTTTCACAATGGTATTTGAAAAAATACAGGAATTAAAACCCAAAGACAAAAAACATGAAAAGAACTAAATAAAAAATGACTGATGAGCTGAACCAAGGAGAAAGTTACTGAAAAATGAATAGCTTTACCTTTTAAATATATAACACGATACCTGATTTATAGTTATGAAAGTGACAAGGATGTGCTCAGAGTTTTAATTAAAGCCAATGAGACACACGGAGTATAAAAGTTATAGCAAAAGAGCCACTGGCATTATTTAAAGTAGAAGTTAAATATGGCTTGAGTCTCTATTGCATGAAGTGCTTACTTACTATATAACAAGTTTATTTAGACAATAATTGATATAGTTGTTTGATATGTATACTCCATCATTTAATTTCTAATTTCAATTATATACTATGATAGAATATTAGGTTATTTGTAAAAAAAACTATAAACATATCCTCTCTCCAAATAATGCTATTCAAACATTTAACTCATATATAGTATTTAAACTGTTTCCTATATATAAGTATTAATTTTATAGTTTAAGATTACATAGGATATCTAATGACAGAAATGTTGACACCACTTCTGCTAACTCAAGTGACAGCAAAAAAGAATTTTTTTTTTAACAAAGAAGAAATTTATCCTTCACTATATACACCTCAACTATTTAAAAGGCCATCTGCCTTATCTCCTCTAACTCAAGCCTATTATAAAAAGAAATGTACTGATTACCTGAACCAACTAAGCATATGACCAGCATGTCCACCATGCCTGCAATTGTGACACCATGTGAACCAGTTGTTAAATTGAGCTAATTTTTTATCCTTGCTCAAGTCTACTTTTTCATCTGATTTGGATCCTCCTATGGGTTAAAGAAAATTATCTTCATTAACTCTGTTAAAATATTTTATTCAAAGCTTCTTAAAAAATATTTCTAAAACTATGTCAAAATACAAATTACACACCATATCAAAATAGCAATTTTAGTGCTATGATCTAGTTTAGATTGAAAAACTACTAGATTAGAGGAGTGTCCTTATACTTTTAATAGTCAATAAAAAATGGAAAACTTTAAATGATCAAAACCCACTAAGAAGCAATTTGAATTAACAACCTTAGAAAAACAATCAGTTTAAAGTCTTCCCACAGAGAAAATACTAAGACCAGTATATAGGTGAGTTCTACTAAGTCCTGAAGGAACAGGTAATTTTTATCTATATAAACTCTTTCAAAGAATTAGTAAAAGAGGGAAAATGCCTCAATGCACTTCTAAGGCTAGTATAACTTTGCTCACAAAAGCATATGAGAAAGGCAAATTATAGGTCAATCTCTTTCCTTGAACAGACATAAAAATCCAAAGGAAAAATTAGTAACTAGTATTATTTAGTACTAACTTCTAGGTACATACACTAGAGGCTTTTGTACATGCTAACAGGAGACCTATGCAGAAATGTTCATAACAGCATTGTTCATAATAGTAAAAGTCTGTTCATAAAACAAAAGTCAAATAGCAAAAAATAGTAAAAGTCTGATTGACAACCAAAGTGTCAATCAATAGTAAAGTGGAACAAAGTGTGTGGCAGTAAATAAACGCTCATTCTATTAATTTTGGCCATCCTAATATGATTTCTTTTGTTCTAAAACAGATCAAATTAAAATATTTCGAGACTGAATAAAATTAGAGACAAGAATACAAAAATGAGTAAGTAAAAATATTAAGTTTAATTACAGTTGTATACCTATTAACATGATGCTACATTCAAAATTTTATCTAGACTATTGCTATTCACAAGTTAATGACCACAGGGTTATTAGTCTTACAAATAGTTTCTTAAAATACCTATCTGTTTTTGCTAATGATAGTAAGGTAAAAAGGATGTATAGGTGGCTAAGATGTAAATACACGGAAATTCTCCCTAAAAGCTTCATAAAAATGATTAATAATGAAACGGGATAGGAAGAAAACAAAAAGAAAGAAAATACAGACTTTTTAAATTATTCTGTATTGCATATAGTTCATTAAGTGATTTTTACTTTGTGTTTATAACTTCTAACACACGGAAAACAGACTGGATCCAGAACAGTTTACTCCTCATGTTTCTCTGATGAAGCTGAAAATACTAAGGTCTACCCTACTGCCACATGAAAAGGCTTTTTATATTTTTATTTTTTTTAATTTTTATTTATTTATGATAGGCACACAGCGAGAGAGAGAGAGGCAGAGACACAGGTAGAGGGAGAAGCAGGCTCCATGCACCGGGAGCCCGATGTGGGATTCGATCCCGGGTCTCCAGGATCGCGCCCTGGGCCAAAGGCAGGTGCCAAACCACTGCGCCACCCAGGGATCCCATGAAAAGGCTTTTTAAAGATCAAATAGCTTTAGCAAATGATATACCTGATAGGGGGTTGGTTAATAACCAAAATACATAAAGAAGTTATATAACTGAACACCAGAAAACACACAATCCTATTACAAAACAAGCAGAGGATCTGAATAGACATTTTTACAAAGAAGACACACAGATGGCTCACAGACACATGAATAGATGCAACATCACTAATCATCAGGGAAATGCAAGTCAAAACCATAATGAGATATCCCCTGTCAGAATGACTAGAATCAAAAAGACAAGAAATAACAAGTGTTGATGAGGATGTGGAGAAAAGGGAACTCTTGTGAAGTGCTGGTGGGAATGCAAACAGAGTAACTGTGGAAAACAATACGGAGGTTCCTCAGGAAATTAAAAATAGAATTACTATGATTCAGTGATCCCAATATTGGGTATTTACTCAGAGAAAATGAAAACACTAACTCAAAAAGATATATGCACCCCTATGTTTATTGCAGCATTATTTACAATAGCCAAGGCATGGAAGCAACCTAAGTGTCCATCAATAGACAAATGGATAAGGAAAATTTGGTATACACATACAAGTATATTACAAAGCCATAAAACAGATGAGATTGTGCCATTTGAGACAACGTGGATGGACCTAGAGAGTTATCATGCTACTAAGTGAAATAAGCCAGACTGAGAAAAATAAACATCATACAATTCCACTCGTAAATGGAATCTAAAATATAAATAAATAAATAATAAACAAAAAGCTGAATCAGACCCATAAATACAGAGAACAAACTGATGGTTGCCAGAGGGGAGGTATGGGGAGTTAAGCAAAATGTGTGAAGGGGAAAGGGAGATACAGGTCTCCAATTTTGGAATGAATAAACCACAAATAAAAGGCAGACATAAGGAATACAGTCACTGATATTGTAATAGCGTTATAACAGGACAGATGGTAGCTACGCTTGTGGTGAACAATATACCAACTTGTCAAATGACTAAGCTGTATATCTGAAACTTATGTAATACTGTGTGCCAAAAAAGATCAAATAGTTTTAACTTTTTTTTTTAAATAATTTTAACTTTTGGAAGATTCATAGTGAATTACAAAGTGCTATAGAATAGTTGAGGGATACTAGGGTTCCACACAGTCTAACTAATAATAATAAAAGAAGAGTAGGAAGGAAATGAATATATAATCTAACTTTAAGAAAGGTATTACATCTATACATTAAGCTCTCTAGGGGCAGGGATTTTTGTCTGTTTTGTTTACTGTAACATTCCTAGCACTTAGGACAATAGGTGCTAAATAGATACTTGTTATTCAACAATAATACTAAATACTAAACAATACTAAATGTTTGTAACCAAACATAGCTATAAATATTCATAAATAATTACAAACATTTATAACCATAAGTGTTACCAAGTTTCAATAGAGTTCCAATCTTTAAAGCACAACTGAGTATAAAAATAAGCAACCATCAGTTAAATAAGCTTACAGAAATTCTGGCCATTTGGATCATGAAGCGTGATGGATGAATGACAACTCTAATTGCAGGCAAAGCATCAGGGGGTTTGTACACCTCAATCTTTTACAGCCTTGAGCTAGTACTTTATTTCTATCAGCTCCTGTCTTATTTTGGAACTCAGAACCTTCTGATTTTATACACTAAAAAAGAATATGCTTATTATAGCTAACCCTTGAAAAACCTGAGTTTGAACTGTATGGATGTGCTTGCATCTGGATTTCTTGCAGTATGGTACTGTAAATATATTTTCTCTTCCTTATGATTTTCTTAACATTTTTTCTCTAACTTACTTTACCATAAGAATACAGTATGTAATATACACAAAGCATTCAATATGTGTTAATTGACTGTTTATGTTAACAGTAAGGCTTCCGGTCAACAGTAAGCTAGTAGTAGCTAAATTTTGGGCAGTCAAAAGTTATACCTAGATTTTTGACTATTCAGAGGTTGGTGCCACTAACTTCCATGTTGTTCAAGGGTAACTGCACTTTGTAATTAACTTGGCTCAGTAATCCTTTAAAGATTATATTCAGGTTTCCCTCATTTTCCTACACTATTTTCTATCAGTCTACTTCCTAAGGCCCTCACCATACAGATGCAACTGCTAGTTCCCATATACTTTCTGTACTTTATTCACCAATCTCTTTATCCTAGTTCATGCTTTTCACTCTTGTCTACACCTGGAAAGGCTTCTCTAAAATCTTCACATATTTAAATCTCCCAAACTGTTTTAAAGGATCAGTTTGAACAGCCATCTTCTTTCTGAAGTTTTCCAGATACCCTTCAAACAGAAGTAATGATTCCTGCTTTCAAAAATCCTAACACTTTCTTTATACAACATTCCTTATTCACTTCAAAGAGCTAAACGTGTTTCAGAACATAGAATATTTGGGATTTAAAAAAAAAATAATGAGCAAACAATATATAATAATTCCAGGAAAGTTTGGGGCAGCACTCTGCATGCAAATCAATTCTGAATAGGTTTTTGTTGTTGTTGTCTTGGTCATATGAAATTATTGTAAATTTTATTTAAAAAAACAAAAACTTTAGATTTTCAGAACTTTCTAGAGATTTTGGAATGACAGATAAGGGATTCTGGACTATTTTCTTTAACATATCATTTCTTATCCGTGCTCATTATACACTAAAAACTCCACAAGGGTCTTTGATTCATCTCAGGGTATCAGTCTTACCTAAGCCAAGTGTTCAAATATGTACAAAAAATTATTATTGAAGCAAATTTCAAAAAACATTTCTGAGGCAAATATGGGAAAATGTTAAGATTTTATAAACCTGAGTGTTGAATATTCATTAAATTAACAGTCTCCATAACAGAGAGGCTGAAATGCTTTGCTTTTTCTTCAGACCCATTTCAAAAATAAAAAAAGATTGAAAAGCTAATTATCTAGCAAAATGGAATAGCACTCAGACCATTATGGCTTCCTGGGGCTTATAGTCTGAAAGATGTATTGAATTTAACTATTTTTATGTATCCCAAGTTCATATATAACTTTTTTTATGCAATATTTTGCCTTGTTCTTTCACTGTAGTGGATTTTTATTCCTAATTATTTTTTTTTTACTAGTATCAGGACCATAAAAGTAATTATGCAATATAAAATGAAAATTCTTTATTAAAATTTAAATCAAAACTAATATTATAAATTTGAAAACATTACATATTGACTTTATTTTAAAAAAGGCATCTAACTTGAAAAATACTCATCCAATGATACTGGCAAACCTCTTTCAAAGATGTTAATGTATGAAATAAAACAAACTATTTACATGAACCAATTGCTGAATAGAAACACAAAATTTCGTAACTAGAAAGACTCTCTGTCCAACACCTTATATGAAAGATATAACTCATATATATGTAACTCTCAGTGTTACAGATTGAATGTCACACAGGTAGAACTAATAAAACAGGCATTCTGACATCAGATCCAGTTCTTGATAATACCAATATGCTAAATTAATACTCAAACATTTTTAATTAAAAATTTTGCCATAGTATGATTTTCAAGTTACATAAATAGCTCAAATATTTCCAGCCACTGAATATTTTATATTCAATTATCTACCATTTTCAAAATTTTTTCCTATATGTTTACCGTAAGTAGTAAACAATAATCCTAACATTTCTAACCATTAAAAAAATACATAGATCCACTAGGTAATTGGCATATAGCAGAAGCAGCACCAAAACTTGGAGGTAAAGGGACCTGATTTCTAAACTAACATTTTCTCTAAGTATTTTGAAGACTCAAAAAGAGAGAATGTGAAAGTTCTTTGAGACTATCAAAAGCTCTTTATGCATATAAAGTATTTGTTAATAGATGAGGGCACAGTGACTTTTAAACATAAAGTGTGAGGGAACCCCTCTTAGCAAAAATGGTAAGAAAATAGTATAATTATAGGGTTACTTAATATTTAAGCTCTTTTCACAAACTTTAAATTGGCCAACATTTGTGAGGTTACTTGTGATATGAATACAGATTTTACTTTTAATGTACTGATTTTATAAATTCCAGGAAATACAAAACCTTTAAGCCAGCAGAGAGGCTTGCTCTTAGAAATAATATAAACCCAACTCTGTATGACTTCTATTGACAACAGTAAATCAGTTATGTAGGAACAATTTCAGCTCAGAAAATATATCATAGAATGATGTCATACCAGGACAGCTAGAAACAGGTGTTCCCATATTAATGAGGCAAAGTGCACATCGAGGAAGGGGTTTTCGACAGCCAGGACAACTTGTGACTTTAGATTTTGTTGGTGAACCACTGACACCATACTGACTAAAACCTCTGCCTTGATGAGGCACGGTTGAACAGCTGTAGGAGATCGACTTGCCACAAAAATTGCAACTCACAAACACCTATACAACAAATGAAAGGAGGAATAAATATAATACATACTTTATAAAGAAAATAAATTTAAAGTTTAATCCTAACAAGTTACTCTTAAACAATTTTTAAACTTTATTTTTTATTATAAAATAATTTGTGATCTGTGATATTTTGAGTAGCTCTCATTTAGGATTTCCACTTAGCAATGACACTGAGTACTTCTCTGTTACCTCTGTTTACCTATATTTTTCCTAATACCATGGCATCTGAAGAAAAACTTGGAAACGTTAGATAACATTTTAGAAATGACAGACTTTAGAATTCACATTGGAATATTACAAAACAACCCAATATAAGTTCTGATCTAAAGTTCAATGATTCAATCTCCTGAACAAAATTTTCTTGTAAAGAAAATATTCATTTCCTAAGATAAAAAGGAGTTAAGGACCCTATAATGTCAAATAGCTAGGATTTTAGAATAATAGCAACAGAAACTGTTCATTAAATTCCTAGGCTCTTAAACACTTACATAGATTAATAACAAACATTATCATGCAGTGCTATTTTACAAAAACTCAAGTTGTTTTAATATAATCACTAATTTCTCAACTTTCTAAAATAAGAAAACAGCACCATCCAGTGCTCACAATGAGGATATACCCAGTATTTAATGTCCAAATTTAGATAGTGATTTCATGTCATGTGCTTTATGTGATAAATGAGCTCATGTTTTTTGAACTAATGCCAAAAGAAAAAAATTTCCATGTTTAATTAGATATATAGATATATGTACATACTATTAGAGAAAAAGCAAATGCTGCTTTATTACACATAAGTAGTACAGATAAATTTAATTCATAAATGGAATTTATAAGATAGTATAATAGTTTAGATTCTGAAAAGGCTTAGAATATACTAGAAAGCTGAGCCCTAGGATTTATTTAGGTTGCCTAAGACCCTCTAGGCCTGATGTGGTTTGCTCTAGCTCAGACTAAAGCTGACACTGAGATGACTGTCAGGAAGTGGCAGCACTGAAAAAAAAACAGGGTGGTCAAGGATGAAATGCACTGTGGTATAAAAACATCAAAAGGAACTCAATATAAGCAAAGATGAGCTAATGATAATTTATTAAATTGAACTCTAAATTTACCCAATGTAATAATGATGTGAACACTTCCCTTTGGGCTGGATTAAGTACATGTTACAATATGATTCTCTCCAAAATAATGTACTTACTTACTTACCTGTGCTAGAGGCTTAGAACTAGGATCCAATTTACTCCTGTGAATATCAAACTCAGCTCGTTTGTGCCAAAACCTCCAGGCATCTAATAAATTTCTGTAATTCTCAATCCAGTACTGAACTCTTTCATCTTTAAGAACATCTAAAGGAGAGCCCTAAAAAGAAAACACAAATTAATACAGTTGTTTAAAAATTCTGTGACTAAGCCAGAGGATTCCAGGTAACATGTGAGTATGAGTCACAGGAAGAAATAGGCTCCCTTTCCGCCAAAAGCTGGTTTATAATGAGGATATAAATAAAATAATTGACAGAAGTTTTTTTGAATTTACTTTAAGTTGGCTTCTACTAATGACATAAAGATGTACTATATACATTATTATTATACCTGGCCAGGAAGTATAATTCCATATCTCTTAAGTTTAAGGACCCAAAAATAAACAATTCACTTTCCTACTTGAATACAATAAAAACTGATGTGAATACTTTGTCCCCTAAACTAAAACTTCTGCATTCATAATACCTATTTACTATCTAATTCAAATACATACCAAAATTGCTTCATCACATTGAAAATACTGAGCCTTGTCCTTTGTATCTACCAACATACTGTGAATAGAGTTGCTATTTTTGCATACCTATTTATCTGAAAGTTAAACCTGTCTATTCTCTTTCCCTCAATTAAAACATACATTTATCGCCTAAAAAATTAAAAAGAATAAACAAAACAAAACCCCAAAACCAAACCAAAAAAGTTCTTCATTCTTTTGCCCTTAGGCCACAATGAAAAGCAACAATTTCTTTACCTCAAGTTTACATTTCTTCTCAATAAGAACTTCAATTTCTTGCCAGTAAGACTTCCTAAAGCTTTATTTTCCCTAGCAGCTGTGACATTTCACATTTTACCTATGCTTGCTTTGGGTTTTCATAGAATGCTTTTAGCCCTGTACATGATATCTCCCTTAAGTTCACATGATGAAGAAAGTTGAGAAAGTCTCAACCTCTGATAATGCCATAAGCATCAATGTGAAGCCCAGTTTTGGGGGGCCAGACAGAAAAGTAAAATGTAGAGAGAACTTAGCATATATCTTACTTATGGAAGAAGGGAAGAAACCTGTAACAACTAACAGACAATCTATCTTTAGACATTTTATCAAGACAGAAAGAGCTTATCTTTCACTTATTAATTAGGTATTAACTTCTGTTACCAGAGTTAAATCAGCTAAAAGAATATGTGAAAAACTCTTAGCTGATAATTTTAAATTTTACTTCTTAAAAAAGTAAACATCTCTTCTAGTCCTAATAATGGTCAATTAGCCAGAACTAAGTACTAAAGTAGACTATAATCCCTAGTTTAAAAGAAAATTCACAGAAAAAAAAGAGAAATCTTCATATACCACTCTTTCTCCTTTCATGGCAATAGTAAGGATAAACTAAGAATTTGGTCAATTCATATATGTTAAGTCTTCTCTAGATCTGCCCCCAAATAAACCTAAAATTAAGCTCCAACAAAATCTGCAGAGGAAACAATCCAAAAATTAAGACTGGAAAGGCTTGGGAAGTAACTTGGGCTTCTCAAAGATCCATAGTAACAAAATTTAAGACCAAAGTGAGCAGTAAATAACTGAATTTCCAAAAGCATTAACCAACATTCTCCAGAAGAGGTAATAAGAACCCAGATCTCTATAATATACAATACACATCTAGTATTCAAATGAAAAACTGCTAGACACAAAGAAACGGGTAGATGTAGTCTAAAGTCAAGAAAAAAGGCAGTCAAGAGAAACTAAGTCTAAGGGCAGCCCTGGTGGTGCAGCGGGTTTGGCGCCACCTGCAGCCTGGGGTGTGATCCTGGAGACCGGGGATCGAGTCCCATATCGGGCTCCCTGCATGGAGCTTGCTTCTCCCTCTCCCTCTGCCTGTGTCTCTGCCTCTCTCTCTGTGTCTATGAATAAATAAATAAAATCTTAAAAAAAAAAAAGAAAGAAACTAAGTCTAAAATAGCCCATATCAAAGTTAGCAGACAACTTCCTGAATGCAGCTATAAGACATAAGTTCAAAGACTTAAAGGAAAAGTGTTTTAATTAGTGTACAGATAGGGATCTAAGTGAAAAATGTAAACTATAAAAAACAGATTCTAGAACTAAATTGTACAGTAACTGAAATTAAGAATTCACTGAAAAACTTAGTATCAGGTGACACAAAAGTCAATGAACAAATCAACAGCATTTAACCTATTTGAGGAGCAGAGAAAAAAAGGATGGAAAGAAAATGAACAAAACCTCAGATACCTACAGGACACTATCAAATGGTTTAATGTATGGTAATAGAAGCCTGAAAGAAGAGAATGAGATTGAAGCAGAAAAAATATATATAAAGAAACAACACCCCTAAACTTTGCAAAACTAATGAAAAACACAGACTTGCAGATCCAAGAAGCTCACTGAACCACAAGCAGGGCACAAAGAAATACAACTAAGCATCAAGGGTAAACTGCTGAAAATCAAAAGCAGCCCAAAGGAAAATGAAACCTTACCCAGGGGAGATTTGGGATGATTTAATACATGTAATCTCAGTTGATTTAATAGATATAATCTCATTTCAGTAAGAAAAAAAAAATGATGTACTATGCTACAGAAAGACACCTTTTCTTCCACAGGCAGTGGCCTGATAAGTTGGTAAATTTATACTGCGGTTTGTGGGCCAGTATCTCAGTTTGTTCATGAGAAGGTAGGATCCGAGGGTGCATTTTACTACGTTTACCCAGTATACAGCATGCTATCAACTGTATGAAAAGATGGGGATAGGAAAGAGGACGCCATGAGAAGATTAGATTAGCTGGAGGGCTACATGAAATCTCAGGGAAATGCTCTAGCTGTTCACCATATTTCTATCAAAAGTAAAGAAGGGAACCTTTGCCAGAAATCTGTTTTTAACTGTTAGACAATAAAAACTGAGAGTAAACTGATGAACTGGCTACCCCAAATATTAAAAAGGTAAAATGAAGAGGAAGGAAGTTGTGGTATAACTTTTCTGCACTTCAAGTGAGACCATAGTTCAGATCAGGGAAAGGCAACTCTTTTACAGAAAGTAGTTTTGTGAATTGGAGAAACTAGAAAGAGGTTTCTCTGCTCCATTTGAGCTTTATGTAAGTTCAACACAGACACTTCCGTGTTGGAAGTGGAATGGAATGGAAGGAAAAACTAGCTGAGGGATAGTAAGATAAGGTAGAAGTCTACTACAGAATAACTGATTAGCTTAAAGTTAAATGCCTTCTAACCCCAAGCAATCTACACATTTAATGCAATCCCTATCAAAATACCACCAGCATTTTTCACAGAGCTAGAACAAACAATCCTAAAATTTATGTGGAACCACAAAAGACCTCTAACAGACAAAGCAATTCTGAAAAACAAAACTGGGGGCACCATAATACTAGATTTCAAGCTATTATAACAAAGCTGTAGTCATCAAGATAATATAGTTGGCGGCAGCCCTGGTGGCGCAGCAGTTTAGCGCCGCCTGCAGCCAAGGGCGTGATCCTGGAGACCCTGGATCAAGTCCCGCGTCAGGCTTTCTGCGTGGAGCCTGCTTCTCCCTCTGCCTGTGTCTCTGCCCCTCTCTCTCTCTGCATCTCTATGAATAAATAAAATAAAATCTTTAAAAAAAATTTTAAAAAAAGATAATATAGTTGGTACTGGCACAAAAACAGATGCATAGATCAATAGAACTTCAGAATAGAAAACACAGAAATGGACCCACAACTATATGGTCAACTAATCTTCGACAAAGCAGGAAAGAACATCTAATGGAAAAAAGTCTCTTCAACAAACAGTGCTGGGAAAACTGGACAGTAACATGCAGAAGAACAAAACTTGACCACTTTCTTACACCATATATCAAAATAAATTCAAAATGGATGAAAGATCAAATGTGAGACAGGAAACCATCAAAATGGTAGAGGAAAACACAGGCAGAAACCTCTTTGACCTTGGCCGTAGTAACTTCTTACTAGACATGTTGCCAGAAGTAAGGGAAACAAAAGCAAAAATGAACTATCAGGACTTCATCAAGATAAAAAGCTTCAGCACAGGGGAATCCCTGGGTGGCTCAGCAGTTTAGTGCCTGCCTTCGTTTGGCCCAGGGTATGATCTTGGAGTCCCAGGATCGAGTCCCTCATCAGGCTCCCTGCATGGAGCCTGTTTCTCCCTCTGCCTGTGTCTCTGCCTCTCTCTCTTTCTCTCTCTTTCTGTCTCTATGAATAATAAATAAATCAATCTTAAAAAAAAGAAAGCTTTGGCACAGTGAAGGAAACAATCAACAAAACTACAGGCAGCCTACAGATGGGAGAAGGTATTTGCCAACAACATATCTGATAAAGGGTTAATATCTAAAATCTACAAAGAGGGCAGCCCAGATGGCTCAGTGGTTTAGCGCCACCTTCAGCCCAGGGCATGATCCTGGAGACCTGGAATCGAGTCCCACGTCGGGCTCCCTGCATGGAGCCTGCTTCTCCTTCTGCCTGTGTCTCTGCCTCTCTCTCTCTCTCTCTCAAAATAAATAAATAAATTCTTAAAAAAAATAAAATAAAATCTACAAAGAACTTATCAAACTCAACACCCAAAGAATAAATAATCCAGTTAAGAAATAGGCAGAAGACATGAATAGACACTTTTCTGAAGAAGACATCCAGATGGCTAACAGACACATAAAAAGATGCTCCACATCATTCATCATCATGGAAATACAAATCAAAATCACAATGAGATACCATTTCATACCTGTCAGGATGGCTAAAATTAACAACACAAGAAACAACAGGTGTTGGCAAGGATATAGAGAAAGGGGAACCCTCTTGCACTGTTGGTGGGGATGCAAACTAATACAGCCACTTTGGAGAACAGTATGGAGGTTCCTCAAAATGTTTAAAATAGAACGATCCCCCATTATTCAGCAATTACACTAGGTATTTAACTAAAGAATAAAAAAATACAGATTCGAAGGGACAGATGCACCCCAGCATCTAGAGCAGCAATGTTCACAATAGCCAAACTATGTAGAGAGCCCAAATATCCATCAACTGATGAAAACCCGGTGTGTGTACACACATACACACACGGACACACACACACACACACACACACAGAAATATTACTCAGACATTCAAAGGAATGGACTCTTGCCATTCACAATGACACGGATGGAGCTACAGTATATTATGCTAAGTGAAATAAGTCAGTCAGAGAAAGACAAATGTCACATGATCTCACTTATATGTGAAATTTACGAAAACGGATGAACACGGGAAGTGGGAAAAGAAAAAAAAAAAAAGACAAACAAGCCATAAGAGACTCTTAAAAACAGAGCACAAACTGAGGGTTGATTGAGGGTTGTGGGTGGGGGATGGGTTAGATGGGTGATGGGGATTAAGGAGGGCGCTTGTGATGGGCACTGGGTATTGTATGTAAGTGATGACTCACTGAATTCTACCATAGAAACCAGTATTGCACTATATGTTAATTACCTAAATTTAGAGTAAAAAAAATTAAAGTTAAATGCCTTATAAAGATCCTAAACAAGCAAAAGGCATACCCACTCAATGAAGGAAGAAGGTGGTTAAGCACTGTTTTTCTTTAAGCTGCTGCCACACTGCACTAACCTGCAACATGCAGTAACTTGCTGTTTGGACATCTCCAGTTCTATCGACATAACTCTCCATTAAGTCCACTCCATCTTTAGTAAGGCCTGTAAGCAGTATTCCTTCCAAATTTCCAGCCTCTTTCATTTCGTTGGTCAACTTTTCAATATATCTATTTAACTGGAAAATTCAAAGTGATTTTTCTGAAGCAATTTGTTTCACTATATACTCTGTACTTCAAAACTTATACTTTTGGAATAGTTTTATTTTTATGGAACACATTTTAAAACAAAGCCCTTGCAAAAATCTAGATGTGATCTCTTAAGAAGTCTGCATCTGTCATAAATTACAATGCAGCATTCTTGGTTATTTAAAATATTTTTTTAAAAAGGCATTCATTATACTTTAGTAATTATTCTATAAAAGAACTATAGAGGGTTTATTATTTTAAATTTGAAGAGAACTGTCCTTCAGTATTCTGCAAAGTTTTATTGTAATAGAAACATAGAATCTGAGTTGAAAGGGAACTTGAAGATGATCAAAAATAATCATCTGTTGGTAAGGTCTCTGATTTTATCCCACCCCAAATTCTAGTCTATATTCCTCTCTGTTCCCTCAGCACTTCCTGCTATTATAGTGCTTAACACCTTTTATTACTGATTGTTTATGGGCATTTCCCTGTCACTATATACACAGCATACGCATTCAATACTTATTTATTGTATTAGGAAGGAATGAAGGAATTTTTTTATAGCATCCCTAAGCGGTGAATTTAATGTCTTTATCTCTAGACCAAAAGCAAAAATAAACTAAAATATTAAGTCAGCAATCTTAAACAATTTTGGTTACAATACACATGTTTACAGTATCTTGATCTAATAAATTATTTTTAAAGAAGAATTTATAAGTTATATATACTTATTTGTACATGAAGATTAGTTTCTTTATCCAGTAACAGTAAATATTAATCACTTCAAATATAGAATTAAACCAATTTTTACCTGACTATCACTGAGGAACTTACAAGCAAATGCCACTCTGTCACGTACAGCAACTTTGTTTTCATACTGAAAAGAAGAGCAACAAGTTACTTGTGGGAGCTAGGAGTTTTAAATTCTTGCAGACTATTAACCTAATAGTAATTTTATTTTCAAATGTATTAGTAAGTTATTGTGTATATACTGGCAGAGCCTAAGAGGCCTTTCTTAATGTATCCCTCTGGAAACTCAGCTCTAAAATTATTGTTCTTGTAAAGTAAAAATTTACATCTTAAATACTGACCAATTCAGTTATAAAACATTCCACTTCAGTCTTATATAACTGCAACATAAAATATAAGCAATGATGTATGGTTTATTAGATTTAAGATGCCATGTAATCCTTCCAACATAGAAATTAATTTTGGGGAAACTGAGAAAATCTTTTCTGGGATGCTAACTTAATCAATAAGTCTAGGAAATCTGTGAATTACCAGTGAATATACCAGTATGAATATACCAATACAGAATTTGGAAAGACTATCAGCACATGTATTTAAATACAAAGTGGTAGGTTTTAAAATATACACTTATAAATAAATAAGACATGGGGTGCCTGGCTGGCTCAGTCTGTTAAGCATCTGCCTTCCACTCGGGTCATGATCCTATGGTCCTGGAACTGAGTCCTGCATCTGGCTCCCTGCTCAGCGGGGAGTCTGCTTCTCCCTCTCTCACCACTCCTTCCCCCACATGTGCTCTTTCTCTCTCAAATAAATAAAATCTTGTAAGAAAACCAACAAGACACACTTTGTGGCCAGAGCAAACAAAATACTGTTATAAAGGTGATTTGTGGCAAAATTTCAGGGGTATTTGTGATAACTTAAATTTTTGTATACCTGCCAGTACTGTAAAACACTATTTTGAATTTCTATAAATGTAAAAAGGTAATTAATTTTGTGGTAAGTAGAAAACAGTCTAAAGGTGGGAAAAAGATCCTATTTCCACTGAAGTCATTCTATGAAAAATAGTTTTCCTGCTTAAACATAAGATAACTTCAACTGGTACCTATCCTAGCATGTTTTCTCAATTATAAAATATGGTTCTGCCCTTATTAGGGAGCATGTTTGGTACAAACTGGATTTAACTCTTTAGATTCGGGTGCAAGTGTTCAATTTTGATGGGGAAAGTGTCATAAATATTAGCTGTCCCATTTTATAGCTCAGAAAACTAAAACCCAAAAAAGTTAATTGGCCAGCTGAATGAAGTAACTGTGTTGGAGCAAGGACTCGGACCTTCATCTTCTGATCTCCCAGTTCAGTACTTTTCATTAGATTACTACAACTTAACAATTTTTAACAAAAGATATGTTAATTATAATTATTTACAGATGAAGTAAAATTAGGTACACTATTGAAGCAGTTTGGAAATATGAACTTCCTACTCAAGGTAAGATAACCTACCTAATAACCCAAATTTACATATAAGAAAATGAGAGTATTTATAATAGGTCACTTAACTTAAAATAAATATAATATTTAAAGAATATTTCTTTATCAATTTAAAATCTGAACAATCCACTTTTTTCTAGTCTTCACCATACTTTACTACTTCCTGAAGTATTTTATTTCTTCAAAATGCAACACCTGAAGTTTTCTGTTTAACAAAAAAAAGTAATAGTAAAAAACAAACAAAAAACCCAACATATTCTCAGATACTAATCTGAAGTGGTTAGAAAAGTTCAGTAGTTCATTTACTAAGAGTAAAAGACAAAGTATATAAACTAAGGAATTGTCAAAATGGATGCTAACAAAATTTATTGAAATTTTCATTAAGATACCTCAATAAAATATAGGTTCTTATAAATTCTTAGGGACTGACACTTAAATCAATTATTCAAACAATGTGTCTTTATATGAAGTGCTATAATGGCAAACACAGAAATAAATTTCATGTTAGAAAGCTCTTGTCAGTGGTAGAAAGAAGTCCAACAATGCAAAAAAAGTTGTATTAATGTGAAGCTTAAAACCAAAAAAAACTTACAAGCACACTTCACTTCATTATTTCTTTCCCCACTTTGTGATAAAGAACCTATTTGGTGATGTGTTTATAGGTGGTTAAAGCAGGAGAGAAAAAGCAATGAAAGACTAAATAATGAAAAAATTAAGTATTTCACTAGAAGTAGTGTGATTGTCCATCTTCCAAACTGGTAAATGTCTGAGAATGCAAATACTAACTCAGACAAGATATATAGTCATTCTGATCACAAATAAGTTTGCTTACTTAACTAAAAACAAAAACTAAAACTAAAAACTAAAAACTAAAAACAAAAACAAAAACTAAAAACAGGCACTTTTAAAAAATTACATTTCAATATAAAATTTATGCTTATACAGTTGTATAACTCTAGAGCTACTCTTAAAAGATAAAACCCTAACTTTCTATGTCAATTATATTGTTAAAACTATCTAAAAAATCAGGTTTGTTATCTGCTAACTGTAGGATGACATTCAAGAGCTGCTCAAAAATATTTAAGATATTTTATTTTAAATTATACAAAATACATCAAAATATAGTATTTTAGGCAACAGACATTTGAAAATTTTAGCAAGACTAGATAACACTATCTTAAAGGAGTCCTGTCAAACAGAAATTAGCTTACCAATACTCCATCATAAGATCCTGTCTCACTTGTCAGAAATGCAAACATGACACACAGATACGGGTTATTTAATTGTAGTCGTAGAGTGCTGCACATTTCTCTCCAAAGAGAGTTTTTCTCATCCGTATAACCCGATAAAGCCATTGCTACCACATTGAGATTCAGATCACCTGCACATTAAAAACAGTCAGCTAATCAAAGTGATCAAAAGCTTCATCCCCCTCTTCCAGTTCTTAAATCACAAAGTAAAGATCAGAGGGTCATGTTTACCTACAGAAAAATAAGCCCACTAGAATTAAGGGTTTTGATCCAGATTGGAATATTTGGCAAGGACCACAAGCAACATTTCCATTCTTATAAAACTTTTGCCCATATTACTAACCCTATCCAGGACGAGCACATCTTTAAATTTTCAAATTCTCATTCCAGGCAAGTTGCTATACAATGTTATTATTTAGGACCGAAATGGAGAAGTGATGCCATTCTACCAGAATCACTGTCAGTCTTATCAAGTTCATTTATGTGGACATATTTCGAAGCACCAATAGTAAATATTACTGTACCTCAGTACTACAATTTTCAAAATCACTGTTTTCCTACTCCTAAATATATAATGCATATACTTAAGTATATGTTCTGAAAACCAGTATTTCACCATTCTTATCATAGTATAAGACTTTATTTTTCTAGGACAAAATTAATTACCAGTATTACCATAGCATTGTATTTAGACATATTTTCAACAAAGTATTTATCAATAGTCTATTAAACATTAGTTCTTAGCAGTTTAAATAGTCACTAATAAGCTGCTAACCTGGTAGTCAACCCCATGGACTACACCTAGGTTTCTTCTAATATAAGTTCACCTTCAAGAGAAAATTAAATTCACCTTTAACTTTTACTCTTTAGTATTTTGTACATTTATTATAGCAGTGTTCTTATTCTGTTCCTGGGTCCTAATCATTTTCTTTCTTTTCCAAATAAAAGAGCATTTCCCACTTTATGGTATTAAATAGCCTTGTTCTTCATTTCTATAAACACTTTCCCCAAGTTGCTTTGTGCTTGCTTCCTCTGCCTAATCTTAAAAGACTTTAAATCCAATTTAATAGAGTAACAGCAACCACTACCATCACAACAGAGAAATATCTTCCTGAATCCTGCTCAAAACAATTTATTTCCAGGTAGAAGGAACATATAAATCTTTTCTTTAGTCCTTAAAAACTTATTGAAATCACTGGAAAGATACTTTTCCCCCTACTGATATATGGGTGTTTAAATCTAACACCAAATTTTCCACGTATACATGACAGGGAAGTACCATGCTCCCAGTTCATATCAAAATCATAGTTAGAAATGGCTTTAAATATCAACTCTTTTCTTTCATCACTTTATCTTCTATTGTACTCTCAAATAAGGAAGATTTATGTTGGAGCAAAAATGAAGGAAAGAGGCCAATCTGGGCAAAACATAGATTTTCAACTTCTTATTGCAAGTAAATAATTACAATTAATTTCATGTTTTTCTCTATGGCACAAGAGAACGGTAATGATTTCAATATGGACTAGTAAGAATTAAGCATTCTGATTATCAGAAATAATTTGCTAGGTGTATTAAACACCAATAGCTATGTATACCTTTGTTATTCAAGTGAAATATCCCCGATAGTAAAAAAACTGAATTTCTGGATTGAGATTTATTTGCCTGAATATTCTCTTACAAAATGTCAGAGTAAAAACTTTATCACATTTTGTATTTTCCTCCTTTAAAAAAAAAAATTAAATGGAAACTATGTTTATTTACTTATTTATTTTGGGGGGGAAACTATGTTTAAATCACCAGCGTCCAGTAGAAGCATTTTTGCAGATCAAAGTGTAATTTTTATAATAATCTACATTAGTCTAATAGTGTCATTTAGAGTTTCCTAAAAGTCAGCCAATAACCATCTAAAAGATGAAATAAAAACTCTCAAATGTTTGCCATAAGAATGCTTGCAAACAGAAAAGAATGCTTGCAAAATGAAGTAGTCCTAATATCCAAGAAAACACATTTTCAAAAATCTATATGAACTATGTTTAAAAGAAAAAGCATTAAAAATGGATGCATTTGAATATTCACTATATTATTATTAAAATGGCAATTAAGGGATGCCTGGGTGGCTCAGCAGTTGAACCTCTGCCTTTAGCTCAGGGCGTGATCCCGGGGACTAAGATGGAGTCCTGATCGGGCTCCTTGAGGGGAGCCTGCTTCTCCCTCTGCCTGTCTCTGCCTCTCTCATGAATAAATAAATAAAATCTTTTTTAAAAAATGGCCCTTAAGACACATTTTCCTCATTACAGACATAAATCAAGGCATAAACAAAAGGAATGGGTTAATATTTACTTTCATAGAGTTCTGTACTAATTTGTCTTTCAAAAAAATTTACAGAAAAATATTGACTAAATATTTGAAAGTTATCAGTATCTTTTCTTTAAAGAATTCTAAAAACTGCAATTATCTTAGAATATAATAATCTAGTACCTTTCTCTGAAGATGCCCCTTCATTCAGGATTTGGATTGCTCGTCGAATATCCAAGTTGAACAATGCCACAGCAGCAGCTCTCTCCCACTCCCCTTCTTGTACAAGGGAATTCAAAAACGGCCCTACATCTACATCTGTTCCTTTCTTTATCCACCCACAAAGCTGTAAAGCTAAGATTCTCTCTTCATTTAAATTCTGAATATCATTTTGCTTATCCAAACCGCTCCAATTATGTCTGCTGCTTTCCACCATTCCTAAAAAGAGAAGCATTTTTATATTAGTTGTTTTATTATTTTTTAAAATATACTTAAAAAATAAGTCCATTTTACACAGAGATATTTCGACAGCATGCTTTGGATATTTGACTACTTAACCACAAATTCGTGACACCATAAATGTAAAATATGCCACAAACAAAACATACTTTACATGTTGTTAAATACAACAGTTCCTTGAGATACCAAAAAAAGCTACTAGAACAATTAATGCTTGATGGGCTGAGTCACTGCTTCAGAGAAGCCCCCTGACCACCTAATCTGAGTGCACCTGTTATTATCTAATGTGACACTGTCTCCTCTACTTCCTTCAGAACTAATGTAAGCTCTTATATTTTATTAATTTTCAGACCTATCTCTTCTCCTGCTAGAACATATGCTCCAAAAGGGGAGGCGTCTTGTTCTATTTGAAAGGTTATTTCCAGTGTTTAAGATTCAACAGATTCTCTCTCCTTCTCCATTTGCTACCTCTTTGTATGCATATATGCAAATATATGAAAAAATGAGATCATATATATAAAAGTACTTCAAAAGTTTAAATTAAATACTAAAGCTAAAATACAATGGGAATGATATGAAGTTTTCTTCTTCACAATATCAGAAGACTTTATATTCTCATTTTCTTTTCATAAGGAATTTAATTCTTCCAGCATTAGATTTCAATCAAGGCAGATGATCCTAATGGTACTAAATAAAACTAAAATAAAGCTGAAAAAAAAAAAGATGAAACTTGACTTTTAATTGCAACTCAAATTCTTAAATGTTCTAGGACATTTTTTTTTTTAAGATTTTTTTTTACATTTATTTATTCATGAGAGACACACACACACACAGAGAGAGGCAGAAACACAGGAAGAGGGAGAAGCAGGCCACATGCAGGGAGCCCGACTTGGGACTCGATCCTGGGTCTCCAGGATCAGGCCCTGGGCTGAAGGCGGCACTAAACCACTGAACCACTCGGGCTGCTCATTCTAGGACATTTTATCATCAAAACTGTCATTGTAGAATTACCTGTTATCTTTCAGAATAAACTGAATTATGAATTAGGCAGCAAGAATGTCCAACATTACTAACATCTTTTATTAGGAGTAACTTAGAGTAATTCTACATTTATCCATTTACATATAATACAGTTATTATACCTTTGTAAATAACTAGATCAATAATAAATAGGTTTTAAGAAATAATTCAACTTGTCTGTGGTAGGCAGAACTGTAAAATGGTCTCCATGATTCTTGCCCCCTAATAACCACACCCTTGCATAATCCCCTCCCCTTGAGTACAGGTGAAATCTGACTTGCTTCTAAATAACAGTACAAGTGAAAGCATTTTGCAGACATAATTAAGGTCATTACTCCATCAACTGAGTTAATCAAAGGGAAATTAATACTGTGTGGGCCTGATGTAACCAGGTGATACCTTTAAAAGAATCCAGGAAATGAGAGAGACTCTCTAGCTGGACTGGAAGGAAATGCTACTTTGTTGTAAGAAGGTTATGTGGTAAGGAAGCATGGGCAGCCTCTAGGAGCTCATGGCAGCCCCTTGTGACAGCCAGGAAGGATTCTTCTGTCCTCTAACTCAAAGAACCAATTCTGTCAACAACCATGTGAACTGAGACAAGTACTCCAACCACAAGAAGCCTAGCCAACATCTTTATTTTAGCCTTGTGAGACCCTGAGCAAAGCATTCAGTGAAGGCATGACCAGACTCCACAGACCATGGAAATGGTAAGATAATAATAAATGCATAATATAAAAATTAATATACTGTCCAAAGTTGACTTTTAACTACACTCATCTGATCAAGGCATTAAAGAAATGAACACAAGCAAAATTGAGAAAATATTAAAAACTGAACCAGGGGACGCCTGGGTAACTCAGAGGATTAAATGTCCAGCTCTTGATTTTGGCTCAGGTCATGTTCTCAAGGTTGAGAGACTGAGCACTGCATTGGGCTCCACTCTCAGCATGGAGTCCGCTTGAGATTCTCTCTCTCCCTCTGCCCCTCCATCCCCATTGTGTGCGTGCACTCTCTCTCTAAATAAATAAAATCTTAAAAAAAAACAACTGAATCAGTTATTTACAAAGCAAACATATACATATATAAATAATGCAAAACACATTATTAAAGTTCATTTAGTCTAAATACATGCACAGAATAAAATGAGTATAGAGCCGAAGTCTGAACTTGCTAAACCTAATTCACACTTTTAAATAACTTGTTTCATTATATGATGTTAGGCTGTGGCAAAAGCCTACAATATTATTCATGTTAGGACATATTTTAAGCTATATATCACTGCTTTATGTAAAAGTTTCAAGATGAATTATTTGTAAAATTCTGGAAATTTAGAAAACAGTTTAATAATTACACTTTAAATTACTTATTTTTAATTGTACCGTTGAAACCATCGCTGTTTAGGTCAAGGGGTCAGGAGGAGACTTCTGAAAAGTTCTCTTCCCTTAAGACAGCCACCTGCCCACTGAAAAAAAGGAAGCATGCTACTCTATTTGCAACCATGAGGAAAGTTATTCAAGACAAAAATCACTTTTAGCTTATGAAAGTGAAATTTTAAGAGCTATTAGAAAATTCCAAATGATTAATTTAAATCAAGTATATTAGGGGCACCTGGGTGGCTCAGTGGTTGAGTGTCTGCCTTTGGCTCAGGTTGTGATCCCTGGGGCCTGGGACTGAGTCCCGCATCAGGCTTCCAGCAGGGAGCCGGCTTCTCCCTTTGCCCATGTCTCTGCCTGTCTGTGTGTCTCTTATGAATAAATAAATGTCTCTCATGAATAAATAAATAAAATCTCAAAAATAAAATAAAACATGCATATTAAAAATTTAAACATTACTTTTCTGCGTAACAAATTTAAATTTAGAGAGAATGGAGTTATTACATTTCAAGTAGAACAAGCTGTAGATATACATAAGGTATTTGCTTTCATAGCTCCCCTATAAATTTTGGATTCAAGCTGAAGACATTAAATGGTAAAAATAACAATTTTCAACAGCTGAACAAAAAGTCTTTTTCAAACTTTCTCATAGCTTAATAATATTCCAGTTTTCTTAGAGTTTTTATTTTATAGAAACTGTGTCATGGAATAAAGATCAATACATAGGACTCCAAAGAGTTTTATACTAGGAGGTAGAAAAATACCCTTTAAGTCAAATGTGGTTATTATGTCTTGTAATGCCCAGAGGCCTTCCTATCGCTTGATAACTATGTTACAGGTTAATTAGGGTTATCAAATAAGCAATATGATAATATTGTATACTTCTAAATGTACTGTCATTATTTTTAACATGTACGAATTTAAAATTTGTATCTGAAAAAGATTATATTCTATTTATGCATGTTATGTAATATTAAAGTGACAAAACTATATCCCCTAAATTTGAGATTGTGCTATATATAAATAATAGAATTGACATTTTATTGACAAGTGTGAGAAACCAGTTTACTTAGACATTCAAAAACATTTTTTAAAAACTGGTTTCAAATACTACACCAAGTAATCAGACACTATGCTACCTGTACATATTAATTGGTTGCATTTTTACATCTATATAACAAAGCAGTAAAATTATCCAGTGTTTATAAGAACATTTTGTTAAAAACACTTCCTTATTTATTCTGTTCATTAAAGTAATTCTGAATGACAAGTTCTCTAGAATAGAATTGACCCCTTAAGTCTAAAAATATTTTCATCATATTGGATGGAAGGCTGACCAACGTTTATTATACAATTTTCTGCGATCCTAAAACAAAGGAACTATAATTATTAACATCATGAACACTTCTCCACAAGACTGTACAAGATATTCCCTTAGAGCATGCATTCTCCTCCTGGTTAACTTTCACACTTAGCCCACCCAATAAACTAGTCTCTCTGTTCCTTTGCTGCTTTATCTCCAGTGGTTCACACCTCCGAGATTTCACCCACTCCTTTCACAGACCTACTACAAATTGTTCCTCCTTCAAAAGAACTACTTTCTTACTACAACTTCATATAGCCTTCCAGAAATCTCACTTCTAAATTTTTCAACCTCACAATCTCTTGGCCCCCCCATATTTTTACTTATCAGTCTTCTGTCATTTCCCTCCCAAAGCTCAACAAATGAATCATTCTCTTGCCAGTGTCCCAATTCTCTCCCCCCACTGTCCTTTATCTTCTGGTAAAATAACATTGCCACACAATCCTCCTCCCTTGTTTTTCAAGACCACTCTGGCTCCTCTTCTCAGTGTCTTCTCTCTACAACCTCCCTGCTCCTTCTCAATAAGCAAACCTACTACATTGAGAAAAGAGGAGCCATCGGGGGAAGCTCCTCAGTCTCTAGTCACTGAACCTTATAAAACATGTATACTGGGGATCCCTGGGTGGCGCAGCGGTTTGGCGCCTGCCTTTGGCCCAGGGCGCGATCCTGGAGACCCGGGATCGAGTCCCACGTCGGGCTCCCGGTACGTGGAGCCTGCTTCTCCCTCTGCCTGTGTCTCTGCCTCTCTCTCTCTGTGACTATCATAAATAAATAAAAATTAAAAAAAAAAACACCACAAAAAACATGTATACCTTTCCCCTTTCCCTCTGGACGGTATGGACAAAGTGTACAGCCTCCTAGTTAACGCTAGTCTTTTCACCTGTGCTCCAGATCCAATTCTCTTCTATTTCTAGGATTTTTGCTCTTCACTTCCTTTTCTCTGCATCTTCAACCTCTTTGTATGGGCTTCCTCACATCAGCATTTAAACTTACTTAAATCAATCCCATGTTAAAAACAAAAACAAAGCAACAAAAAAACCCTACTATGCCTCCAGATTCACTTGCTGCTTTTACTATAAACCTTTTCTCTTCCTTTAGTCAAATTTCCTGGAAGAATTATTTAAAATGGATGACTTTACTTCTTCAACCTACTCTAAACTTCTTGCCTACTGCACATCTTTACCCAGCTATCACAAGTTCAACTTTCTCCAAAACAAACTTGTTTTCTTCTCAAATGAACTCTTCCTCTGTTAATCCTATGTAATTAATTGGTACCAGTAGTAACCCAGTTTCCTAAGCTATATATATATGTGTACCTTCCATTACCTTTATTCAATCATTAAGTTGTCACACTTTAATTAACCCACATTTATTTAGCTCCTCTAAACCTTGGTAGGAACCAGTAACCTTGGTAGGAACACCCTCATCGTCTTGCCTAATTATTATAGCTTTTTTTTTTTTTTTTAAGATTTATTCATTTGAGAGAGAGAGAGAGAAAGAGAGAGACCACAGGCAGGAAGAAACGGCAAAGCGAGAGGGAGAACCAAAGAGCCTGATGTGGGGCTCGATCCAAGGACCTTGAGATCAGATGCTTAACTGACTGGGCCACCCAGGTGCCCCAACTACTGTGGGCATAAGGTCCCTGTTTGATTCTCTCCAATTCATTCCACACATAGCTACATCTATAAGAGACAAATCTAATTCTGCCAATACTCTTTAAAATCTTTCCGTGGTTTCTCTTTGTTACGGGAAAAATCTCCCTAAATTTTTACCATGATTTCTAAGTCCTGAGTTACCCCATTGCTTACCTTTCTAGTCTCCATTCTTTCCTCATTTCCTCTCTCACACAGTTCCGCCAATACTGAAATGTGCTATGCTCCCTCTCCTTTGGGTTAATTGCATATACTGCTTCCCTATTTGGACCATGCTTGTCTTTGCTTTTACCTTCTCAAGGGAACCCTCTCAAATCTTACACCCAGATTAGGATTCTTCTATTTTAACAATTGTTTGTTATTCCTCATGGTAAATAGCCTAGTTATCTGTCCATACTCTGAAATAGTATTAGAATGTAAACTTCCCAAGAACATGGGTAATATCCACATTCAGTCTCTATGAGGGAAGAGGCTTAAGTTATATCTTATTATTCCAAGGACAATTCTTAGCACATAATCAAATAATAAATATTTGCTGACTGAATAAATTTACCTCATACTATAAGAATTAAATAAAGTAACATGGGGAAAGTAACTAGCATGATATCCAATTAATAGTAAGCATTCAATACATATTATTTGTCACTATCGTTAAAATTGCACTGTGAGCTCTAATAAACTTGTGTATTGGATCACTGTGAGCAAGATGGCTCAATGTGTTGACTTACTATGTGCTGAATCATAAGATATACAATTAGAGAAAAAAGTATGGCCAGATTAAAAAAACTAAATTCCACATGTGCCATCTTTGACAGTTATTTTTTTTACTTTTTACTTTGGGGCTATAGAAACAAAAATATCTAAACCAAAACAAAAAGCTGAAAGTCTAGCAATGAGGAAATCATTCCAATGTAGTTTTTTAATCTGGGTAAAGACCATCCTTGACTCAAGACTTTCAGTTTCTATTGCACCAGAAATATATATACAGATATTCTACTTTTCCTCTTGCTTTTCTTCAGAGGCAGTTTGTAGGTTTTCCCCTAAAATATATCAAAATACAACAAAAACAATAATAAACCTCAGAATAACTGAGAATGTAATGTGGCCTGAATCCTAGGTTGGGGAAAGGATTATAGTATAATGCACAATTCTATTTTTAAAAAAAAATGAATAAGAACAACTATTCAGTGAAAAACTTAGTTTAGCTCTTCTATCATCTTTATTCTTAAATAGTTGATCAATTTTAATCCTACATTAACTCATACATTCATTTAATCATCAAGGACTCTCTCAAGTAAGGCTCCTATAGGTAAGGTCATACTTCATGACGTAGTTACCCAGACCTTGCCATCAAATAGCTAAGTCAAAGTGTTTGGGCAACACAATAAAAAGAGATCTCCTTCAATTATATGTCTTTTCATTTAGCTTTTATAAAAAGCAAAATGCTGTGATAAAATCCAAACTAACCACCAGGATCCTATAACTCATCTAATGGAAGACTTCTCAAAGTGGGTCTTCAAAAAAATAACATTGAATGAGTGAACAGATTTAGAAAGACAGTATACTTCAAAGAACCAAGATATTACCCCCTCCCAAAAAAGAATTAAGGATATAAATTATGCATTTAGAACAACAATTCACTAAAATATCTAACCAGGAACCCCCCAAAAAAACCAACAAATATTTATGTACATTATTCTGAAGTAGCTAAATGATAGGGATAATGGGTGAAAAATAAGACTACAAAAATTATATTTCAGAAAATAAAGTAGAATTTTCTTACCTAAAGATGATTTTACAATTGATTTAATTCCTGCATAAACCAATGATCCTTTGTTTCCTGGAGACTTCTGATCCATATCTTCTGTATACTGCTTCATAAGTATTTAAATGCATAGGAAATACTAAAGACGATGTATAATAATATATTTTAAAGCTAAACTTACTCTGATTTGGAGCCAATTCATAATAGGTGTCAGCGAAAGTTGGTTCTACTTTATTGTAAAGATATATTTTTCTTCCTTCTATACAATCTGTAAAGCAGTATTTCAAGTTCAACAGTTTTAAATAATTTTACTTTGTAATTTTGGCATTATGTAACCTGCATGTGCATATAAAACATTCAGAATAAAATTTACAGACTGACCTTTCAGCAAACTTTAAGAACATTTCTACCTGATTCATCTCATGAAATTCATAATGAAAAGGATATAGTGCAGGGTATACCAGAGTGACTTGAGCTGTGGGTCTTCATTCCCAGCTAAAATATGGTTTCTCCACACTTGTTCTGTATCAAGTCCGTACCTGGATAAAGCCCGAAGGCGCATCTTCGTTGCTATATCTTTTTCTAAAGAATTATCATTTTCTTCTTCTGCACATTCATACAAATGACGACCACAAGCCCACATTAAAGATGTAATTGGGCTCCAGGCAAGAGAGATCCTTTCAAAAACAGTGAAGTCAGACATTGTTCGGTTGGGAGTTAAAACTATCATTCGATTTTGACTTGTTGGATGCCAAGCAAAAGAAGCAATGTAATTGTCACAAGGTTGCACACTTCTTTCAATTATTGTGGGTTCAGTTTCATCTCCAATGGGAGTGGGTGTGTGTTGCATATCATATAATCTAATAATGTTACTATCCCTTGTCAAAGTGGCAAGCAGACCAGTCCTAGTTGGACACCATGCTACTTTTGTTAAGGGCTTTGGTTGCTCAGTTAAAGTCAAAACTGGCTTCTCAAATTTCCTTAGATCCCATATTGCAACCTGACCTTCATAGAAGGAAGCAACACGATCATGGAAGTAGGGGTCTACTGTCACCCCCTGAACAGCTTTTGTATTTACAAACATCTTTTGGCTTGTATTCCGAAGATCAAATATGGCTAGGTTACGATGCATACCAGCAAGGAGAAGTTTCTGGTCTCGTGGAAGCCAACAAAGAGAAAGACAAGCATCATTCTGTCCTAATTCATAAAGAGGTTTTGTTACTAATAATGTTGTTTCAGTTTCACCTGCTGAAAGTCTCACTTTCTCCATAGGTACTATATCAGGAGTATATTTGCTGCAAATATCCCAAATCAGCACTGAAAAATCAGCTCTGTGTTTATCTAGCCCAGCAGCAAGCCAGTTACTATCCAATGGATTCCATGCAAGGGTATTACATTGCCGTGCATGTTTTGGAACAAATTCTTTTCCTATCAAATCTTTGAATTTTGAGTTATGATCTTGACCAAGACTTGTAAGTACAACTCGACCATTTGCTTGTCCAACTGCTAGGAGACATTCGGGATCATAATTGAGATACCAGGCAACACATTTCATATACGGTGTATCTGAATTTATTGATAATAATGTAGCTGCAGAGTCTTCAGATAAACGTAAAGATCCAGCTTTGAGTTCTGAATTCACAGTAGATTCCACATGATAAAGGCTCAGTTCAGAGTCACATACAACAAATCTATCAACTTGGTGTGGTGCCCACAATACATCAGGTTTTGTACCGCTCATGTTTATTGATATGCTCAAAGAGTCCAGTTAGGTCCATTCACTGAATCTGTTTAAAAATGAAAAGTTTTAAAATTTTAACAATAGAATTCTAAGATGAATAAACTATTCGGAAAGTCAGGAAATTCTCTATATGAGTACTGTATTTCTCAATATATTTCTTCTAATTGCTATGAATTAATGACCATAATTTATTGATTAAAAAGGGAAAAAGACCTTCCCCCAATCAGATGAGGTATGATTCTGAGAACTACGTTTTAGCCTTATTTCCCACGATAATTTTTTTAATTGCATGTTACTAGTAATTTCATTAATCTCAGAGTCAATATTAACTTCAGTATGGTGAGCAAATTAATAAGCATCATCTCTTTGAAGGCGGTAAAACTTTAAAGGGTTATGAATCATGTTAAGCAACAGTTTACAGCAGCACTATTCAATAGAACTTTCTGCAGTGATAGAAATGTTCTCCAGCTGTACTGCCAAAAGGGCAGCTATTAGCCACATGTGGCTAACCCAGCACAAGAAATGACTAGTACAAATTTTAAATCTTACTTTTCATTAATTTTTAATATATAAATAACCACATGTGGCCACCATAACGGACAGTGAAGATTTAAAGTACAATGCCACTATTAAGACAGAGGTCTCTAGGGATCCCTGGGTGGCTCAGCAGTTTAGCGACTGCCTTTGGCCCAGGGCATGATCCTGGAGTCCCGGGTTTGAGTCCTACATCAGGCTCCCTACATGGCGCCTGCTTCTCCCTCTGCCTGTGTCTCTGCCTCTCTCTCTGTCTGTCTCTCTTTGTGTGTCTCTCATGAATAAATAAATAAAATCTTTAAAAAAAAAAAAAGAGGTCTTTACCTCAAGTATCAACAATAAGAAGCAGCCCTATAGGGCAGAATAAACAGTAGCATGTATTGAGCCAAGTTAACTTCTATCCCTAGCTCTGACATATATTAGCTATATACCACAGAAAGGCCTTTGTGATTAGGAGTCCTTTTATTTTCTCATCTACATAACAAGAGTTGGTTTAGATTAGTGTTTCCTAAACTTCATTCATGTACCACCTATTTTTATTTAATCTTTTTATTTAAAGTGACTATTTTTAAAATCATAAAATTGATATTAACCTCATTATGAAGTCCATGAATCACAGTATGGTATGTTAAAAATATTTTTTCTAACACACATTAAATTAAATGTGTAACTATTAAAATGCTTGATATGCTAACTATATTGGAATTTTTAAAAAATGCTTGTTTTACCTAAAATCATTCTGTTTATGATCGGTGGACATACTGCATTTGGGAAACTGAATTAAGTGATCATTAAAGGCTCTTTAAAGTTTTTGACTCTATAAACTTTAATATTGACATATGATTTTGAAAAGATAATAGCCACTTAAGCACAAACTAAATACAGCTATGTTAAAGATGGTATTTTAGGGGAGCCGAGTGGTTCAGTGAGTTAAAGTGACCGTCTCAGTTTTGGCTCAGGGCATTATTTCGTGGGTCTTGAGACTGAGCTCCACTTTGGGGCTCCACATTCAGTAGGGGGAGTCTGCTTGAAGAATCTTTCCCTCTGTCCCTCAACATACTCACACATGCAGGCACACACACACACACACACTCTCTCTAATACATACGCCTTAAAAAAAAAAAAAGAAAAGAAAAAAAATGGTATTTTAAAAACAAAAGCTACTTAACAAACACTTAAATATCTGTTTCTAACCAGTTCTGGCTAGAGGTTATAGTCTGGATTAAAAAAGGACAAAGACCTTTAGTATCTTCATGGCAACTGGAATCTGTACAGCCATGGGTTTTTTTGTTTTAATTTTATTTATTTGAGAGAGAAAGAGAATGGGCAGAGGAAAGGCAGAGGGAGAAGGAGACTCCTAGCTGAGGAGGAGCCCGATGTGGGACTCCATCCCAGGACCCCAGGATTATGACCCAAGCTGAAGGCAGACACTTAACAGACTGAGCCACCGAACAACAATGCTTCAGTTCTAAAAAGGTGAAGTTTTGGTCCATTCAACCCCTGATCCCCTGTATCAGATGTAGAGCCAGGCACAGCCTCCTAATATAGATACACTAAATAAATTCAGCTCAAACATACTTGCTTTATCTTCTAATCTTGTGAAACTTTCAGTCAAGAATTATCAATCTAGAATTCAATAGACTCATACAATTTAGATGACTGGGAAAACCCTCTAAGAATTTTTATACTGGTTTATTTCCTTCCTTGAGAGTTCTGAAGCTCAAGATCAGTCATTTCAATTATATTTTTTTACTAGATCCTCAATTTCTTCATTTCTTTGCCACTTTAGGTATGCCTTCCCCAAGCCTACACCAACCCAATTATTTACTCTTTATTCCTCCACAAAGGCTACAAAGTCTCACATCTATGAGGACTGATTCCACAAGAAATTAAGGTATACAACATGTCTGACTTATGGTGTTGATTTAGCAATTCTTTTACTCATGTGTATACTTAGGCCTTTATGAAATTCATCTTTATGTAGTATCACAGGGACCTTTCTAAAATGCAAGCTAAGTTTATACAATCCCTACTTAAAATCCTCTAATGCTTTCCAAATGCTCTTTGGAATAGAATTCTTCACTATAACCTATAAAATCCTAAATGCTTTGGTCTCTACTTACTGCTTTGGCATCAAGTCACACATTTTCCTCCTTGCTGTGTTTTAGCCACATACTCCTTCTTTTCAGTTCCTCGAATGTAACCCACCCCCCTTTGCCTCCCATCACTACTACTTTGCAAATGCTGTTCTCTCTGGTTGGAGCATTCTCCCCTCCCTTCTCGGCCAAGTTAACACATGCCAAACATCCTCCATCCCCTCCCTGGTCAGGTTACTTAACTAGTATTCTCGGCGAAAAGTTTTCCTTCCCTTTAAATCATCCTGTCTCTCTTACTAAATTATAAGTGCCACAAGAGCAAGAAAAGTACCTTTTGCTCTCCATTTATACCTCTGATACCCAGCCCAGGGCTAGGCCCTTAGTAGATATTTAAGAATTATTTGTTAAATGCTCCAGCTGACATTTCTCACACTGCTATATCCAACTTTTACCAATCTCCTCATTCTTTCACCCATCATCCTTTCAACTAAAGACTGGCTCCAGTCAAGAGCAAAGTGTCCACTGTCATAACTGGTTCCAATGATGGGCAAGAGCCCACAGTGAGCTACTCTAAGAGAGGATCACTCTAATACCTGTCTTTCATTTATTCTGTAAATATTTATTGGGCATAGTATATGTGCTAGAAACGATTCTAAATTTTCAGAACATGGTAATGAACAGAAACATAAGTTCCCAGGTTCCTATGGACTAAATTGTGTCCTTCCAAAATTGCTGACTCCCAATCCCCAATGTGACAGTATTAGAGAAAGACCCTTTAAGGAGGTAATTAGAATTAAATGAAGTCGTAAGGGTAGAGTGCTAAACTGATAGAACTGGTGCCCTTAGAAGAGGAAGAGACAACTGAGCTCCCTCCCCACCATGTGAGGACAGTGAGAAGGCAGCCTTCTATAAGCCAAGGCAAGAACTCTCACCACAACCAGACCACATTGGCACGCTGATTTTGGACTTCCAACCTGTGAGAACTGTGAAAAAAATAAATTCCTGTTGTTTAAGCCACCTACTCTACGGTCTCTTATTATGGCAGCCCAAGCAGAGTAATAAACTGGTCTAATAAAGCCTGCATTCCAATGCTGAAGTTATGTCCAATCTTAAAAAGAATTTAAAAATTTAGGAATAAGAAGGAAGAGGCACTTCATGCAATAGTAGCTAAAACAACAAAAAGAAGGAACAGATACTGACAAGTAAGGGCTCACACGTCTTCACAGACAACAGAGGAAACCTCTTAAATGGAAGTATCTAGAGATCTGGCCTATCTTATCAAAAGATAAATGCTGAAATAATCACACTTTCAATAGAAGCCTCCCTCTCATAATTTATATTCTTTACATGGATAATCTATAAGAAAACTTGGTGGCACATGTAAAAATCCACTTTAAAAAAATAAAGTGTTATTATAGTTTAAAAAGTCTTTGATTTGCAGGACTCTCAATGGAGGACTATAAGCATTTCTTCTGATGTAATTATGCATGTACAATGTTTATATTACCAGCCACAAAATCTGATTACAGTAATTCATACAGAATCACAAAACTGGAGGGAGACTGGTAAAACCTCTCATTTCACATAGGAGTAAAGTGAAGACCAGATGTCTTAGTTCTTCTTGTCCAATATCTCCCAACTCCCATCCTAAATTACAGCAAAAGAAAAAACTAACTACATCACTTGCAAGATACACTGCAAAATGAAAATACAGAGCCCCCTTATTAAAAAATTATTAAGAATTTCAAAGTGGTGACGACACAGCAATAAACTGTGCCAAGCCCTTTTAAATGATGGGCCCTATGTGACTGCATAGGCTGTACAACCCAAAGCTGGCCCTGAATAGAGAAGTACGTCCCTAAGCGCCCTTTTAAGAAATGTATTTCTTTACAATCCAACACACAGTATAAATGGATCTTGGCTCCAGAACACAGATGAATATGATGAAGAGCAAAGAAAACTAAACCTGGGGAGAGAAGACTTCCAACCACTCACCGGCTAGACTCTAACAAGTCCGTTGATACACCAAGACTATGAAGACATAGAACCCACCCTATTGCCATCTCACAAAGTTGTGACAAACTGAGCTCTTCCCATCACACAGCTGTATCACTAGGATTTCCTTAAGCAGCCCTGGAAGTTAATGTTTTCAAACGGTGGAAATGTTGAACCGTGGAAGGCGAGGGGGTGAAATCTGCAATAATTACAGCATAATCTACATCCTCACCTTCGAGTTTAACAAGTGTTCACTTCCCATCAATGGTTTCTGAGCAAAGGAAAGCCGTGTTGACTCTGTATTCTTCACCAGAATATAACAGCACTGTCTGACAGAAATACAGTGTTAGCCATGATTTAAGTTTCCAGCAGCCACACTGAAAAAGAGATGAAAATTAAACAATATATTCCATTCAACTCAACATATAAAAAAATATATCCCTTTTCCACATGTAACCGATATAAAAAAAAGTCATTGAGAATTTTTTTTCCTTTGGTGCCAAGTCTGGTAGGTTCAATGTGCATTTTGCGCTTACAGTACGGCTCAACCCCGCGTCTCTACTGGGCGGCGAAGATCCAGAAAACTAAGTGTGCAAGGTGTCCGACTACCCTTTCACATCCTTCTGTCGCTGTCTTCTGCCTTTCTTACCATGACACTAACAAAGTTAGCAAAGCAGCTCAAAGAAATTTTCAGCCTCTCCATCTTAGGGCGATGCGCTGCATGAATTTCCCTTCAGAATTTGTTGAGATTTGTGAAAACTTCAAAACCTGTAAAAACGCAGTCATTTGCTAAGCAACTTAGCAATGCTCACGGCACTCACTCGTGAAAGACTTTATTCATTCTCTCATGGAATTTTCCTTTACCCGCACAAGCAGAAAAGACAGCGAGCGAATCGCCTGACAGGCCCTTTAGGAAGGATCCGACCGAGCGCAGGGAGAGCACGGCTCCCCGCTACCCCGCTGCCCCGCTGCCTCACGGCCTGAGGGCCCCTCCCGCGCCCCACACACCCGGCTGAGCCTCCCGTCCCACGCCTGACGCGGCTCCGCACCAACTCGCCGCCCGAGCGGCTGCGCCGCGCACCCCGCGCCCCCGCCGAGGTCCGCCCGCAGCTCCGAGGCGCCCTACTAGGCCCAGCCCGCCGCCCGCCGCCCGCCGCCCGCCGCCCGCCGCGGTCAGCCCTCAGCGCGGAACGCGACGCCCCGCGTCCCGGCTTCCAGGAGGCCCTCGGGGGCCGTCCCCGCCCGGGCCTTCCGACTGGGCTTGCTCGGGCCCCTCGCGGCGGCCGCAGCGCTCGCCAACCCACGCCCGGGGCCTCCGCCTCAGGAGCGCCGAGACGCCACCCGAGAGCCGCAACGCACAGACCTGAGGAGGCCCCGCGGCCGCCGCACGGCCACTTCCGGCCTGGTCGCCGCCCCTCGCGCCGTGGGAGTCCGCACGCGGGCAAGATGGCGGCGCGGCCGGCGACCTGGGCGACCTGGGCGACCTGGGCCCCCCGGCCGGGACCCGCGACCCCACCGCGGCGCGCCTCGGCCTTGGAAGGGGAGTTCCCCCGCTCGTGAGCCCCGCCCTCGGCCGCCCGGGAGTAGCCACGCCCCGGGGGCGGGGCCACTGCTCAGGAGGCCCCGCCTTCCGCCCCAGCGCCCCGCCCCTGCAGCCTGCGGGAGACGTCTCCAGGGCGCGGCCTCTCGGAGATGCGATGCGTTATCTCAAGTCCTCCAGACACTTCAGCTCCTTTGATCACTTCCAATTTCCGTTAACAGTTTATTGCAGGTCGTCGATGGAGCAAGAAACTCCAGGGAATGTGTGGTTCGCCATTTATTCATGCATTTACTCATTCTACAAACGCGTCTTGAGTACCTAGCACATTGCTGGAATGTTGGGGACACTAGATTGAACCAAAAATGACTGCGGTCCCGGCAGAAAACAGTGATGCCGTATTAGGGGCTGATACAGTGCTCCGTAGGAGGGGCGCCCCCTTAGTGTCGGGGTGTCAGGAACGCTACCTTGTGGACCCCTAGGCGACCCAGGAAGGATGAATGTGGGATTCACTGGGAAAGGGAACCGTGGAGGAGGCTGGAAGAGAAGAGCCTTCTAGAGCAGAGGAAGAGCAAGTGCAGGCTGAGAAGGGATGGCATCTCAATGGGGAAAACAGTGAAGTATGGGTGGATGAGCAGAGCAAGAGGGGGGAGATCAAGACGCTGTATCAGAGAGGCATTTGGAAACGAAGTTAGTAGGTTTGGGTGGACTTTTTCCTAAAGGCCATGGTGCAGTCATTGAAGGTTTTATTTTTATTTATTTATTTATGACAGTCACACAGAGAGAGAGAGAGAGAGAGAGAGAGAGAGAGAGAGAGAGAGAGGGGCAGAGACACAGGCAGAGGGAGAAGCAGGCTCCATGCACCGGGAGCCCGACGTGGGATTCGATCCCGGGTCTCCAGGATCGCGCCCTGGGCCAAAGGCAGGCGCCAAACCGCTGCGCCACCCAGGGATCCCTCATTGAAGGTTTTACACTAGGCAAGTGGTGTGATCAGTTTTTCAGGGAGAAAAGGGAAGGACGGGGTCTGTATCCCAGTGAGAGATAATGGTAATCCAAACTACCTGTGGTATGGAGAGTAGGGATGGAGAGAAGTGTGTAGGGAATATTTAGAAGGTGGAATGAACAGAGCTTAATGATTGGCTTAAGACAGTGAAGGAGAAAAAGGATTCTAGGTTTTTGGTTCCCATTCCTGCCTTTGGAGAAGTGGAGGCTGAAGAAAGGGCTGTACAGCTGCAGGGAGATACCATAGGATGCATCACTTCAAGCACTCTCTTGCCCATCTTCTCAATGGTTCAGGCCCTGGTCCCAAATTTCCAGGTCAATAAAAGTCTCTTCCTTATCCGCTCCTACCACGGACCTAGTCTACCCTCAGGAGATGACATTGCTTCCTACTTCAAAAAAAATTAAAGCTATTAGGTAGGAATTCCCCTACAGCCTCCTATTATTTCTCTTTCCCGTCCCCAACATCATCATTCACTCCCATTCTTACCTTCTTGTACTTGACACAAAGTAAGAGGAGGGACTGCATAGGTTTCTCCTCTTTCAGGACCTTGCACCATCAGTTTTCTCCTTTTCTATGTGTCTTAAGCCTCTCCATTTCTACTGTTTCTTTGCCTTCAACATATGTTCAAATCAGACTCATTTTTGTCCTCACAGGAGAAGGCCATATTGGCTCTCTCCAATCCTACATCCTCGTGTTTTCCCTTGAATTTATTCTTCTTGGGCCTTCATGCCACCCCCAAAACTGCTCTTTACTTGCCTATAGTTGACTTCCCCTGCTAGAATACATGCTCCACACCCCAGGATTCATTCCATTGCACCTCCACCCCCAGATGTCAGCAAGGTGCTTGGTGAGCCAGTTAGAGAGGACAGTTCCTTGAAAGGCCTCCATTTCAGCTAGGAGTGACTAGCTTCTCATCTTAAAAGAGAAGCTGCTTGACTTCTACTTCCTCTTTCCCCTTCCAGCTGTCTGGGATATGGCAAAAAGAAACATGGTATAGAAATGGAGACCATGTATTATGGGAGACAAAACTGCCCCACTAGTCTAAATCCCAGTCTAATTCAGAAAGCTGAGCTACCTCCTCCCTTGGATCAACCATAGACTTCTGCACCATTACACAAGAGAAAACAAACTGTGTTCTTTTAAAAATTACTGTTTGTTTGGACTTATTAGGGCACTTTGGCCTATTCTCTAATACACAGGAACTCTGCCTGTTTTATTCTCTGCTTAATCTCCAGAACCTAAAAAGTACACAGAACAGGTAAGTACTCAATAAAAATTTGTTGGATAAATCCTGAAACAATATCTTGCTCTATGCTCTCCTCCAGCTGATATATTTTTCTCTCCTTCCTTTCCCATATAAGCTTTGGTGAAAGTGTATTCTTCTCATGCTGCTACCAATACCTTGCACTCTAGAAACCCTAGAAAGGTAAGTGACACTTCTCGCATTCTACTTGGAAATCCATTCCCCTTCTCTACTAAATGGTGTTCCTTGTTAGTAAACCTGTATTCCTTAGGAGAGAAGCTCCTTGCCATCCATTTCCTTGTGAGTAGTGAACTTGTAGTATAGAACTTTGGATTTCCTGTAGCTCCTGCTGCATGGTATGTATTCAAAAATATTTACTCAGTGGGAAAGTGCATTGTACTTGTAGAAGATTAAACTGTGTCAGAGAATTTGGCAGGCTGCTCTGAGGATACACTAGTTGTCTTTATCAAATAGGGATTTTGTGATGGATGCCAGAGTTTGCTATAGTTTGGTCTTACGGCTTTTTGTTTTGTTTTCTTTTTTTAATGTAAACTTTTGTGTCCTTAACAAGATATTGTTCTTCCTAAGCTTCACTTGTATTGTGGCAATCCAGGATAAAATTTGTGTGTGTGTGTGTGTGTGTGTGTGGTTTTTAAACCAATAAAGGACAACAGTGGAAAAACTGCTCATTTCCTTATTTACTGCTGCTCTTTAGCAGCAGCAGCTCAGTTACTATTGGAATATTCTGTGGAGTCTGTGACTGGCTAATTTGAACTCCTTTTATTTCTACATACACAAAATAAGTCTGTACTTATTTTGAGCAAGTTTTGTTTTTAGGCATCAAAGGGAAAATAGGGCCCTGGAAATATGTGACATGGCTTAGGTAATCTTTTTACAAAAGTTGTGGATGGGAAGATCTGAGATATCTTAAAATAGTGGTCTTCAAAAAGTATTCAAGCATACTCCCAAATCAGTTTGGTAAATCAATATACTTATTTATATATTTTGGAGGAGTACATCTAACATTGTCATAATAAATTTACATAGTTCCAAGGATATGATTTTGAATACTTTTTAAATACTTAAATGGTAAATAAAACTGGTGCATCACACTTAAAATGTAGTTCACGAAATTTAAATACTTTAGTGAGAGTTTCTTAAAATCATTCATTTAAAATTTTTATGACCTAGCTATTCTTTTAATTGTAGGAAATTTTATATTATTCTATTTTTCTTCTTGATCTTGTATTTCCATTTTACTTTCTCCCAGAATTATTTATTTGTTTGATAATCAACAATTATATAGCCTTTACTACATGCCAGATGCTTTATGACATAAGCTCACGTAACACTGTCTCGCTCAGGTTGGGTGTCCTGGAGCCATATTTTAAGATGGAGATTAGGACACAGATATTTATAAAGGAGTGTTGGGATCAAGACCTGTGGAAGGAAGGAGGAAGATGTAGGACTAGGCAGAGGGAGAAGCAGAGCTGTGTGATCCAATACCAACAAAGACCTCAGCCAACAATCCATGAGAAACTCTGAAACTGGATTGGCTGACCAGAGTTATCCTGAGTTGGGACAAGGACCCAGGACTTTATACTGCCCCACTGAAGTAGACATGTTTTTGATACGACCTGTCCCTCAAAGGACAAGTGGCTGTGAGTGAGGCAGTTTCCTCTATCAAGGCAATCCCCCAAGATGTCTGACAGCTGAAGACCATCTGCTGACAACTTTCCCAGCCCCTGAAAGACCAAGTTATTCATTACTGAAAGGAGACATCCAGGAGGTGCACCATGGACTTCACCACATCCTCACAATTTTATGAGGATGATACTGTTATTTTCCCCTTTTACAAATGAGAGAACTGAGGCACAGAAATGTTAAATAAATTGCCCAAGATCTCTCTCTCTCCCTCCCTCCCTCCCTCCCTCTCTCTTTTTAAGCAAGGGAATGGGGGGGGGGGTAGCGAGAGGGAGAATCTTCAGCAGGCTCCACGTCGGAGCCTGATCCAGCTCAATATCCCAAACCTAGATCATGACCTAAGCCAAAATGGAGTCAGATACTTAACTGCTTAACTGACTGAGCTACCCAGTCCCACCCCCCCCAGGATATCTCTTAAGTGGTGGAGTGAGGTTAGGGACCTAGACATTGTCCCCAGCATTGTACTTCTATCAAATGGCATAGCCACTTGATGCAGT